AAAACATCTGTTTTGGTTCTGATTATCATGTTTATCGCGCTGAAATCATGCGTTTTAAACAATATGAGTTTAAACTTCTGATATGCGGTTTTCTGAGCGCACACATCCGAAGCACACGGACAGAAAGCGGCTGTCACAGCATGTGAGTACTAAACTAAGTTCTCATTCACACACAAGTTTACGTTAAAAACACACACGAGTTACAAAAACAGTCGGTTATGTCTGTGAAGGTAAACTGCTGGGAAATAAATTGCATGTTTATTTTAGATCTGTGGCAGCAGCAATATACAGTAAATAAATCAATAAATCCACTGCTCTCTTGTCTCCTCTGAGGCTGAGACTCTAAATAGTGTTCTGTGCTCGTCTGTGCAGCCAAAGGCAGAACAGTTAGCAATAGCATGTTTTGCTCAAACTTTCGCCATTGGCATTAGAGCTGGTACAGCGTTGTCGCTTGCAAAATCAAAATGACGGCGCCGTGGGTGGAAACTTACAGATTAAGGGGCGGTAATGTTATAATGAGAACCCTTTGCCACGTCACAAGGGCAGCGAAATCTGACGCGCTCGTTTTCTCAGACGCTTGTAGAAAAAGGCTTACCTTAACAGTTACTGTGTTAATCTTTTTCACGTTTCCTTGGTTGGTAGATGCACCGGGGACCTGATTATAGCACTTAAAATCTGGAAAAGTCCGATTTTCATGATATGTCACCTTTAAATTAAAACTGAAAGAACTGTGACTGAAAGAAGCATAAATGTTTTTAATATGATAGATGAGTGTTCTGGAATTAATATTGAAAAGTGAAATTACATTTGTATCAGACTGTAATTTTGGCTTGACCCTCAATAACTGTGTTTATAGTAATTCACTTACAATGAAAGTCTATGGGCCAAAGCATTGTACCAGGGTAAATGTTACAAAACCACACATGTATAGCCAGAAAGTATAGCCATTAGACTTGAAGAATCAAGATAAGCAGATCTAACAAAAATATGAGATGCAAATGCCTTGCCCCATGGACCTCCATTTTAAGCGCATTGCAAACAGAGCTGAAATGAATTTCTGTGGCAATCAACACATTTCTTTGGCATTGATATAATATATAATATTCAGTTGTTTAGGCTATGGTATATTTTGAGATCATCATCCATTTCAAAGTATTTTAACTGAGCATAAATAAATATGTGCAAAATGTCATAAAATGACATACTATCTCCACTGAAACAATGAGATGGGTGGATTGGCATCAGCCAAGCAGGTGAGCTGAACGTTTTCTCTGTTCAAATACCAGTTCCCATCGAAGCCTTCTATTATCACCTCTGGTTCATCTGTAAACAAGGAGAAAAGAGAGCACAAATTTATTTCAGAACTTTTCTTTTTTTTTATTTCCTTCAATGGACATTTAATAAAATTGACTTTAACAATAATGAATATTTCGAATAAAATTATTTTAATCCATAACCCATGAGGATATATTTAAAAATACATTTTAAACTAAAAGTTAAACTGCAATTACTATTAAGCTCAAATGAAAAAAACATTATAGTATAATAAGTACTGTTTTATTAAGTACTACTATTGAAATTAAATAATGAAATAAATTTAAAAAATTTAAAGCAACTTGTAATAAATTAAAAATAGTGTGGGGTTAGTAAGATTTCTAAATGTTTTGAAAGAAGTCTCTTATTATTACAATTTAAAGTAACTGTTTTCTATTTAAATTCATTTTAAAATGTAATTGATTCCTGTGACGACAAAGCTGAATTTTCAGCTGCCACTTCAGTCTTCAGTGTCACACGATCCTTCAGAAATCATTCTAATATGCTGATTTGATGCTCAAGAAAAATGTCTTATTATTATCAATGTTGAAATCAGTTATTTATGCATATTTTTATGGAACCCGAGAGACTTTTTTCATTATTTTATTTATGAATAGAAAGTTCAAAAGAACAGCATTTATTTGAAATATAATTTATTTGGAACAATCTAAATGTCTTTTTTGTCACTTTTGATTATTATTATTACAATTTAAAGTAACTGTTTTCTATTTAAATTCATTTTAAAATGTAATTGATTCCTGTGACGACAAAGCTGAATTTTCAGCTGCCACTTCAGTCTTCAGTGTCCTTCACGATCCTTCAGAAATCATTCTAATATGCTGATTTGATGCTCAAGAAAAATGTCTTATTATTATCAATGTTGAAATCAGTTATTTATGCATATTTTTATGGAACCCGAGAGACTTTTTTCATTATTTTATTTATGAATAGAAAGTTCAAAAGAACAGCATTTATTTGAAATATAATTTATTTGGAACAATCTAAATGTCTTTTTTGTCACTTTTGATTAATTTAATGCATCCCTGCTGAATAAGTATTTTTTTTTTATCTTACTGACCCCAAACTTTTGAACAGAAGTATAGCTGGTTTCTTACACTGAATGTTGAGTGTTACACTGTCTGTGTATTGTTCGTCATTATATGTGGAGACGCAGGTGAGCAGCTGTTGGTGTATTTCTCGACTGGGAACCACCAAGTAATCACTGCGCACTGTGACAGTCCCATCAGGGTTGCGTATCTCCTGGGTGTTGGATTCTCCATTTAAATCAGTTTCCCATGTGATCACACTGGGTGGCTTCCCATTGGCAGAAACACACGTGGCAACAGTCATCTTCAGATCTTTGGTTCCTGCCACTATGGAGGGTGTGGAAAGACTCATCTGGATCATAGGGCGAGCTGCAGGACAAATACATAGGCTTAGAACACTGGGATATTTCATGCACTGCAGACAACTACCAGATTACTGTAATATTCTGTGCCACACTATGTTTTGCAAGCTTTTCAGCTTATTGGTGTGTTTTTTTTCATTAAGAACTGCAAAGTGCTGTATAATAACCCGTTTTCATGGAAAACATTTTGAAAAGACAAAGGCCTCTCAACTTGGAAAATTATGCAATATACACAGAAATGATTCTTCTGTGAAATCAAAAGTTTTACTAACTTTATAACCAAAAAATAAATCTCAGTTTATGTGATGTTAGCGCTATAAAAAATCTAGCAAAATCCACCAGAGCACAATCTTGGCTCCAAAGGCCCGTTTCACACCACAGCGGCTAACCATAAGCAAGCACTCAAAGTTACAGTAAATGCTTTTACGCTGCTCAGGTACTGAGAGTAATCTGATGATGGTGAGTTTTCAATTAATCACTAAAGCTTAATCACCAAGGCTTTACTAGTTTTATGTAAGTAAGATATCTCTTAAACTGTCCAAATCTGAATCTTGTAAGGACCTTGAACTTACTCAATGTTAAAGGAATAGTTTTCCCAGAAATGAAAATTGGCTGACATTTTGCTCGCCCTCAGGCCGTCCAAGATGTAAATGAGTTTGTTTCTTCATCAGATTTGGAAAAATTGGAGCTTTATATCCTGCTCACCAATGGATTCTTTGCAGTGAATGGGTGCCGTCAGAATGAGAGTCCAATCAGCTGATAAAAACAACACAATAATCCACAAGTAATTCACACGTCTCCAATTGTTAATTGATTGAATGTGGATTACTTGTGGATTATTGTGATGCTTTATCAACTGTTGGCACCATTCCCTTTTCGTCTGTTCCAATGAAGAAACAAACATCCTGGATGACCTGAGGATGAGTACATTTTCAGCACATTTTCATTTTTGGGTGAACTATACCTTTAAATGTTTACTCGCCCACTGAAATTAAAGTTATTCACCTCTTAAATCTCATCTGAAGTCATATTTTAAATGCATTGTTCGTGGTATTGGTGGTCAGCTTTACAGTTGGTATTAGGAGAACAGCAGCATTACATACCATAAACAGTGAGATTAACCATGTTCTCCCTGTTGCCAGCTGGGAAGGTTGTGTACTCGCAGATGTAGGTGGATTCATCCGACAGTTTTAGTTTGTTGAAGACTATGGTGGTGTCTTCCAGGGAAGGTGTGTGCTGGCGGACGGCGGGGTTCTTGAAGCGCACACGCTCTTTGAAGGGGCTCAGTACTGACACCCCCAGGGCTGGATTGGCGATGGCCACGTTCTGCTTAGTGCCATTGACCAGCTTCTGCCAGGTGACCTGCGAGATTTTTACAGGTGGGTTGCTGTTGACAAACTGACAGCGTAGCTCTACCTGTGAGCCCACAAATCCTGACTTACTGCTGTCCATCTGGACCATCTGACCATGAACACCTGGAAATAAAAAGATTAACAGTTATTTCTCACAACGTGGATGAACTGTAAAGATGTCTAGTATCAAACCAAAAACAAACGACAGAACAATTGTTTTTTTCATATTTGGTAACACTTCACTTAAAACATTTGTGTATAATGCATTATAAAGGGTTATTAGAGACTATAATGCATTATAATTATTCATAATGTACATTGTAATACATGATATCTTGTCGTAAATAATTATAACCGAATTTAAAATGCATAGTGTAACAATGAATTGATAAGTGTTATAATGCATTAATTGTGGTTACAATTATTCATTAGATTGTACAATGCATTATAAGTGCATTACAAGGCATAATTATTGCATTAAAACTACTTGTCAAACCAAAAACAAACGACAGAACAATTTTTTTTTTCATATTTGGTAACACTTCACTTAAAACATTTGTGCAGGGTTATTAGAGACTATAATGCATTATAATTATTCATAATGTACATTGTAATACATGATATCTTGTCGTAAATAATTATAACCGAATTTAAAATGCATAGTGTAACAATGAATTGATAAGTGTTATAATGCATTAATTGTGGTTACAATTATTCATTAGATTGTACAATGCATTATAAGTGCATTACAAGGCATAATTATTGCATTAAAACTACTTTTATTATAAAGGCTTTAAGAAAAGTGTTACCTCATATTTTTATGAAAACATAAACATTTACTGGCTATACAGAATTTAATTTAAATTCCCATTCAGTTCCTGAAATGGATTTGAAATGAGGTAGGACCTCAACCAGGAGGATTTGATTTGACAATTAAAAGAAGTTTAAGAATGGGATGATCAAAAGTGACAGCAAAAACTTTTACAATGTAAAGAAATATATATATATATATATATATATATATATATATATACAGTGGGTACGGAAAGTATTCAGACCCCCTTAAATTTTTCACTCTTTGTTATATTGCAGCCATTTGCTAAAATCATTTAAGTAAATTTTT